TATGTAGATTCAGACAGATGCTGTGTCACATGCGTCAAGTCTCATGCTGTGTTAAATCACACCATGTCAAGTTAAATAGAGAAACACGTCTCGTCTGTGCTGTTTTTCACTCCGCTGCATTCTGTCCAGCTGTTTTTAACGCAAAAAATTCTCTCTGAAATTGGTTTAATTACACAGGGCTCCCTTAAAGCGACTAGTCATTCAGAAAACACACTAACTAATTGATTTTGTAAATAACAATGTGCAATACAGTCAATTTCTGGAGGCACTAGATGGAGTCTTTTAGTATAGATGCAGTAGCTCACATATATAGACTTCTTGAATCTTAGAAATTATGCTTTTAAAATATAGTGTAGAGTTTTTTGATTCTGAAATTCTCTATATTGCTCAGTAATTTGATTTAATTTACTGATATTACATTTCAATGATCTTATTGTGTTACTTTTTGTTCTTTGCAGAGATTGACAAAATACAAATCAATCTATACAGCAAAAAATATCTGTAAACTAGCAGTTTGTGAACCGTATTTAACACCTTATATAAAAGGCTTTTTTGGTGACGGCAGCTTAAAGATGCCTCTTACATGGAGAATGAAGTCACATGCATTGCTCAGGTGTGAGTCTTCACAGACGTCATCAGAGTGTAGAAATCTTGATGGTTCTGTGGGTCTCGTCTATCAAATCTGAGGTTTATTTTGAATTCTCTATTGGATTCAGCTCAGGTGATTGGCTGGGCCATTCTACAGCTTGAATTTCTTTCTTTGAAAGCATTTGAGTGTTTCCTTGGCTGTGTTTTTTATCATTGTCTTGCTGAAATGTCCACCCTGGTGGATCTTCATCATCCTCCTAATGTAGATGTTGGACTGAAGCAGCTCATATTCATTTACACTGATGAAGGGCAGAGGGTTGATGAAGAACTACTGAGATTTTAGCTGCTGTCTGGGCTTTCACTGCCTTTCTACACCTCCCTTTCTTCATTTATTTAATACTTTTTCCCTGTGCCATTTCATTTTATTACACTTAACTTAATTTGCACACTAATAAGATTTGTTTTCTTTGCATATTAGATTAGATTATATTCAACGTTATTGTCATTACACATACAAGTACAAGGCAACCAAATGTAGTTTCGGTCTAATCAGCAGTGCAATAGCAGCAAGTGCAGGAAACAGGTATAAGTTAGAAAGTGCAGTTATAGAAAAACTATGGTCATATTTACAGATGGATGTACTATGAACATTATATACAGGTCGTATTAGCTATGAACAGATATTTACAATGAATTAATATATTTACAGAATGCTATTAATAATCAGAAGTGTGCAGATAGATAAACATAATTACAAATGTTTAAGTACATATATGGATTTTTTTGGTTGTTACAAACATCTGGTGAAAATTTCAAGTCAACGGCACCTTTAGAAATGTGTTTTCGGAGAAAAATGGTGACGTGTTTAAAGCTTATTTTCCAACCCAAGCTCATTCTGAAAACATAGCCCTGCGGACATTTCTGGAGACCGCGTTTTACGTGGCCGGAGGTAAAGATGGCCGCATTCGGTTTTTCAAGCGACCGCTATGGGGCGGTGTGATGCCGCTCCTCTTCTTCGCGCTCGCCGGCTGTGACGGCTCACCTCTGTGTGGAGGGCTTTCCCAGCGCAACCAGTTTGTCCGCTTAGCTTGTAGTGTTACGTCGGCGGAGCAGAGGCCTGGAGGAGGAGGAGCCACCCACGGCGACGATCAGGTTCGAGTCTGGTGAAGAGCGGTTCCAGAAATCAGGTAAGATGAAAAAACGATATCCAAAAAATAAAAGCGAATGAGTTCATGATGGGGCGAGAATGCGGTGAAATCCGAAAACTCGGTCAAAATCGGACGAGGGCTATTGCTTTTCTTTTCTGGATGGCTTTTGTAAATCGTCGCTTGGGTTTAGGGAAGGAGGAGGAGGGTGGCTGGGTCGGTCGATTGGCCGGCCGCCCAGTCGATCGTTCAGTCATTCAGTCAGTCAGACAGACGGTCGATCGACAGCGGCCTCCGGCGGCTTTTCACACGCTCCCGAGAAGCGTTCGAGATGTGAAAAAGCGTGCACAGCAGCCTCTCGTGGATTCGTGAAAACAAAAACTGCACAAATACGTACCTCCCGGATTTTTCGGTCTCCAGAAACGTCCGCGGGCTAAGTTTCCACAATGAGCCTGGGTTGTTATTTTCTCCACTGTATGTTAATCTGCTCTGACGCAACCTACAATGTATGAAGCGCAATAGAAATAAGGATGAAATTCTGAAACTTTCAGAAAGTTTCATTTTTAGTGCAATGACCTCTTTTGTAAGATCAAGGGAAATTTTCTCAATTGGGATTGTGCACATAGACAAATTAGCTACCAGTTTGCCAAAAAAAAAAGTGAAAATTGCTGTGTTCACTCCACAGTCACCCTGACCAGACAACCAGCCGATTCTGCTATTAAAAATGGAAAGTGCATACATCCTGCAGGAGGGAAAAATGAATCAAATTCTCCTTCAATTATGATACAAACAAAAGAGCTAATTTGAGTCCGTTCAGGGAGAATATGGAGCTGTGATAGAAATGCTCTGGAGCTGAACATCGTGACTGCTCGCTGTATGATCTGGATAATGTTGTACTTCTGTCACCTCAGAGGATTGACGCGGCCGTTTCATCCTCACTTAATGTTCTGTACCCCCAGTAGTCAAATAATCTGAACAAGTTTAATTAAACAGTTCGTCTTATTTCCAACTCTCACTTTCTCCGTCTCATTATCTAGAAATGGCACGAAGGGAGACTTGGCTTCAATTTGTTCAAAGTTTGCTAACATGTTTTGGCACTTCTTCAGCGTTTGTTTTTCAGGATGAAGCTGAACGGTCAGATTATTAGAAGGAAATTTTTTAATTATTATATTATTTAAAGCTTTAAAGACTAACCTCTTGTGAGCAGCTAATTAATGGTAGTTTGTGTATTAAAGTAATGTGTTTGCATTATTTAATAACCCTTTTTAACAACTAAATTTGCACTGTAAAAAATGTAGGGTTACAAACTTGTCATTCATTCATTCCCATTCATTCAAGCTTAGTCCCTTTTTTCAAGGGTCGCCACAGAGGAATGAACCGCCAATATTTTTTACTTACTGGGAAACACTCATTCACCCTCAATCACAAACACACACTGCGGCCAATTCACCTATAGAGCATTGGACCGTGGGGTAAACTGGAGCTCCCGACGGAAATCAAAGCAAAGCACAGGGAGAACATGCAAACTCCACACAGAAACAACAACTGGCCCAGCCAGGAGTCAAACCAGTGACTTTCTTGCTGTGAGGCCCCCTTCATGTCATGTTAACGGATATTAATTAAGTTAACTTAGTTAATTTTTTACAATTTTAAGTGGATTGAACATAAAACTATTAAGTTATATATATATACAGTTGAAGTCAGAATTATTAGCCCCCCTGAATTATTAGCCCCCTAATATTTTTTTCCCCTAATTTCCGCTTAATGGAGAGACGATTTTCTTTTCAACACATTTCTAAATAGTTTTAATTACTCATCTCTAATAACTGATTTATTTGATCTTTTCCATGATGACAGTAAATAATATTGTACTAGATATTTTTCAAGACACTTCTATACAGCTTAAAGTGACACTAAAGACTTAACTAGGTTAATTAGGTTAACTAGGCAGGTTAGGGGGATTAGGCAAGTTATTGTATAGCGATGGTTTGTTCTGTAGACTATTTTTAAAAAATTGCTTAAAAGGGCTAATAATTTTGACCTTAAAATGGCTGTTAAAAAATTAACAACTGCTTTTATTCTAGCCAAAATAAAGAAATAAGACTTTCTCCAAAGAAAAAAATATTATCAGACATGATATGAATTTTTTTTGCACTGTTAAATATCATTTGGGAAATATTTAAAAAAGAAAGAAAAATTCAAAGGGGGGCTAATAATTATGACTTCAACTATATATATATATATATATATATATATATATATATATATATATATATATATATATATATATATATATATATATACACACACACACACACACACACATACATGCATATATACATACATGCAGGCTCTTTGCTGAAGAAAGGTTCCTGACCACTGCACTAGGCTATTGGCACCGACGCTTTTTGTACTTTTAAGTTTGTTCGGTGTGTGATATTGCTGTTTGAGCAATCTGATGACGATGATGATGATTAATCATTGAAAGATCACATCATGCAATTGGGTTTCTAAACTTGCATATCGTTTCTAATTTCATGTTTATTTAAACCTGTGACTATCACAGCTGTACATTGAAATCTTTAGTCATCATGTGTGGTTATGAAAGCGCTTTACTCTCTAGTTTTTTCAAATATATGTTATTATTTTTGTGCAGTAAATGGTCACTTTTCACTGAAGTACAGTTGACAGAATTATTAGCCGTTCTGAATTATTAACCCTTCCCCCCTCCCCCATATATTTTCCCCATTTTCTGTTTAACAGAGAGATTTTTTTTCAACACATTTCTGAACACAATAGTTTAAATACCACATTTGCAATAACTGATTTGTTTTATCTTTGTCATGATGACAGCACATAATATTTGCTTAATATTACACAATATTCAGCTTAAAGTGGCCTTTAAAGGCTTAACTAGGTTAATTAGGCAGGTTAGGGTAATTAGACAAGTCAATGTATAACAGTTGTTTGTTCTGTAGACAATCGAAAGCAAAAATTGTTTAAGCGGTCTAATAATATTAATTTAATAATATTAATGTTTGATTCAAAAATTTAAAAACTGCTTTTATTCTAGCCGAAATAAAACAAATAAGACTTTTTTCAGAAGAAAAAATATTATAAGAAATACTGTGGAAAATTCCTTCCTCTGTTAAACATATTCTGGGAAATATTTAAAAAAGAAAAAACAAAATAGGAGGGCGAATAATGCTGACTTCAACTGAATAATGGACACATGCTAACATGTCTCTCTCTTTCTGTTTTTCACAGTAATTTCCAATCATCTGCCATGTTTGAGGGATCTGAGTCCGCGAACACACAGGAAGTCAAATCTGAGAGCACCCTTGGGTCCTCGCTCTCCGCCTGCAAGAAGGTGTGTGTGTGTGCACCATAGTCCTGTATTACAACCTGCATCACGTTCTCTGCAAGTGCACTACCATCCAGACCCACATAACAAGCCAGCATTAGGTTTCTGTCCGTGGCGTCGTGTTCACTCCTGTGCTCGAGCTCCTGCAAGAATCTCATGCTCCAATCACAGTGTGATTAAAATGAAGCCTTGCTGATTGGCCGACGGCTCCACCTGTATAGGGAACGGAAACTCTGGCTTTTTGCCATCAGCACTTTTTACTCTGTCGGCAGCTGGACTTTGCAGGCAGGTTACAGCAGCTGAAGCTCTGCCAGAATCACTGAGACGGAGAGAAGCAGAACAAGCAGCATGATTAGTTCAATATCTCCCTTGTCTTCTGGCTCTTTTACCTTTGTCTCGTTCTGCTGAGCGCTTTATTAGTGGATGGTTGTAAGTGCATGGCCCCTGTGGGCGCAGATGCAGAATCAGGGGAACAGGGAGTTACTATAGTGTGACACTGTATTAATCATTTCTGTCTCTCATGAGAGATGTGATGAGATTAAGGAGGATGGTCATTATTGATGGGAACAGCACAGGGGTCACCAACTTGATCTATGTTAGTAGGCTTTAAATATACAGTTGAAGTCAGAATTATTAGCCGCCATGTTCATTCTTCCCCCATTTTCTGTTTAAGCTAACGTAATAGTTTTAATAACTCATTTCTAATAGCTGATTTATATTATCTTTGTCATGATGACAGCGCATAATATTATATGTACTAGATATTTTTAAGGCAATATTATTCAGCTTAAAGAGACGTTTAAAGTCTTAACTAAGATAATAAGGTTAATTAAGCAAGTTAGGATAATTAAGCAAATCATTGCATATCATGGTTTGTTTTTCAGACAATCGAAAATAAATATAGCTTAAAATGGCTAATAATTTTGACCTAAAAATGTTTATTAAAATGTATATTGATTTTTGTCAGTTAGGACTTTCTCCAGCAGACATACTGTAAAAATTTCCTTTCTCTGTATATATATATATATATAGTTTGGTTTTGATTTCTTCTTTTTGATTGACAGTATTACAGTAGCGCATTAATATCCATTATTATTTATAAAAACAATTATTAAAAAATAAATAAAAAGTTTTATTGAAACTATATATTTTTATAATAATATTATTTTTTTATTATTGTTATTATTTTTTACATGCATTATTATTTATAAATAAAATATGTAATATAAAAATAACTGAAAAATGCCAGTCAAAATATAGTTTTTATGTTATTATTATTATTATTATTATTATTATTATTATTATTATTATTATTATTATTATTAATTTATCTTTAACATGCATCAGTATTTATAAATTATATGTGCAATATTAAAATAACTGAAAAATGCCAGTGAAACTTCTATTTTTATTTCTTATTTGAATTTATTTATTTATTTATTTTTACCATGCATTATTTATAAATAAAATATGTAATATAAAATAACTGAAAAATGCCAGTAAAATAATAATAATATTTTTTTTATTATTGTTGTTGTTGTTATTATTATTTATTTTTAACATGCATTATTAATTATAAATAAAATATGTAATAAAAACTGAAAAAATGCCAGCAATACCATTATTTTCATTTTATTTTTATTATTATTAATTGTAGTAGTATTAATATTATTTAATTGTTGTTGTTGGTGGTTTTGAATTTCTGCTTTTTATTGACAGGTCTGAGAACTATTACAGTTATGCATTAATATGCATTATCATTTATAAACAAAAATGTAATATAAAAGAAACTGAAAAATGTCAGTGAAACTAAAATTTTTATATTATTATTACTATTATGTATTTTTTATTAATATTATTATTGATGGTGTTGGTTTTTAATTTCCACTTTTTGACTGACAGGCCTGAGCATTAATACAGTAATTACAGTATTACTATTTATAAAAAGTAAAATAGTAATTAAAATATTTTATTTATATATATATATATATATATATATATATATATATATATATATATATATATATATATATATATATATATATATATATATATATATTATTTGTATCTCATGCCAAATAATGTCTTAACTTCACAAATTATAAAGCAATGAATTTATTCAAAACTCATTCATTAATCTTTCAGGAGTGTCAGTCCTCTAAATAGTGAGAAATAGTTTCCTCTGATCTCTATCTTAAAAACTAGTGTTACTAATTCAAATAATAGATAATATAATTAAACATTTGACCACCCTATACTGGATTACACCATTGTAAATGCATAACCGCGTCAATCAATCTACGCCAATAGACATACAGTAGTAAGTGTTCCACACCTCTTGTAAAATAGGTGTTTGTTTCTACATAGCCTAAAAGTAAAGTATAGCTAGATGCATAGTTTGTATAGTTTGACCAATGTAACCTTAAAAAAAAGCTTATCATAGGATACTATAGGTCAGAATACACAAAATACCCCACAAAACACTGAAAATGTGTTTAATTAATAAAATAGATGTCATTTAAATAAATACATTTGATTAACTTTATTGCACAAAATAACATTACCGAAAAAGTTCAGTCGTCAATGTTTAATTTGCACCATGAGTATAACACCATAGTTGGTTTTTAATAAAATAGCTAATACAAAGACATTGATTCTTGATCTGAATGTTGTTGAATGTGTGCTTTTCACTACACTGAATGCTCATATTGCTACAGTAGTAACTAATTTAGCTTTATCACTGCTCGGCTTTCCATGCAGCTCTGATCTAAATAAAACTGCGTCTGTGCAGCTGCAATGAAGGATTACTGTCAGAGGTCATATCATTTGTCAAGCTGATGTGATTAACTTCAGCATCTAGAAATCAAACCACTTAGTAAAATAAATAGCAGGTAATCCTGAGCTGATCTCAAACATCGTCAGTATTGACCTCATTAAGCCTGAGCTTGCATTTCACATGATCAGGAAGCGTCGAGCGGTATTTGTGACAGGAATGTGCTAACAGGTCGATCTTTTTGTTTACCCTTTATTGATAACAGAGCTGTGTAGTTGTTAGCATATACAATGGATTGAATTTAATAACATCAAGGCAGTGTTTCCCAACCCTGTCCCTGCAGGCACACCAGCATATTTTAGATGTCTCCCTTATTAACTGGTCTCTTCTAATGTTCTGATGAGTTGACTCAGGTGTGTTTGAGTAGGAGGAGGTTGAAAATGTGTACTGTCGGTGTGTCTTTAGGAACAGGGTTGGAAAACACTGGTTTAGAGCAGTGTTTCCCAATCCTGTTTCTGGAGGCACACCAACAGTACACATTTAATTTCTCTCTTATCAAACTCATTAACTTCAAGTTTTAGAGTCTCTTCTGATGTTCTGATGAGTTGATTCAGGTGTGTTTGATTAGGAAGAGATGGAAAATGTGTACTGATGGTGTCTTTAGGAACAGGGTTGGGAAACACTGCATTAAAGGGATAGTTGATGCAAAAATGGAAGGTCACTCATTCCCCAATGGTTCCAGTTTCTTCTGTTGAATATATTTCAACAGTAGATATTTTGAAGAATGTTTGAAACTGGTTGCCATTGACAACCATAGTAGGAACACAAACATTATGGTAATCATAGAATACTAGTTTCCAGCCTTTTTCCAAGTATATTACTTTGTGTTTGGCAGAAAAAAAGGAACTTGTTGAGTAAATGTAAATAAAAAATTTGGGGTGAACTATCCCTTTAATGTACCTAAAGGAACACTCCACTTTTAAAAAGGCTCAGTATAGCACTCCCATAGAGTTAAATATTCATTCATTTTCATGTCGGCTTAGTCCCTTTATTAATCTGGGGTCGCCACAGCAGAATGAACCGCCAACTTATCCAGCAAGTTTTTACGCAGCGGATGCCCTTCCAGCCGCAACCCATCTCTGGGAAACATCCACACACACACACTACGGACAATTTAGCTTACCCAATTCACCTGTACCGCATGTCTTTGGACTGTGGGGGAAACCGGAGCACCCAGAGGAAACCCATGCAAAGGCAGGGAGAACATGCAAACTCCACACAGAAACGCCAACTGAGTCGAGGTTCGAACCAGCGATCTTCTTGCTGTGAGGCAACAGCACTACCTACTGCGCCACTGCCTCGTCTAGAGTTGAGTGTTATAATCAGAGTTGAGTGTTGAGTTGAGTTGAACAGTTGATTTTTATCAATTTCTGATTCTATTCTGTTTATCATTGAATTAGATTAGACCAGTGGTTCTCAAACTGTGGTACGTTTACCACTAGTGGTACGTGGGCTTCCTTCTAGTGGTACACGGAGGAATGAAAAATGTCATGTACATGCTACATATAATTCAAAATTTATTAAAATGATGTATATAATATGTCATATATTATATATAGGCTATATTTCTGAGGTAATCTGCCAGGTTTTTTAACTGTGCAGAGTTGTAGCTGCTTTACTGGGCCAACTACGCTACTGTATTTCAATGCTGCTCATTTTGGTGGTACTTGGAGAGACAATTTTTTTCTAAGGTGGTACTTGATGAAAAAAGTTTGAGAACCACTGGATTAGACCATTAGCATCTCACTCAAAAAAAAAATGACCAAAGAGTTTTGTTAATTTTCCTATTTAAAGCTTGACTTTTCTGTGGTTACATCATGTAATAAGACCAGCAGATAATGAAAAGTTGCTATGGCTATGGTATAGGAGTATGGTATTGGCTATGGTATTGGAGTATAGGAACTATAGTCTTGTAATAGTCAAAGAAATTTGCTGCCATACCATGGCTGCAGCAGGTGCAAATGATATAATATTATATGATGATTTGATATTATGGAGCATGTGAAAATACTCCACACTGACAAGAATATTATTCATTGCATTTACTAAATTGTTTAAGTTAAGTAGTTGCAAATTATTTATTTGGGCTGAAATTAAACAAACAAATTAAGTTGAACATTAATTCAATTCAATTCAGCTTTATTTGTATAGCGCTTTTACAATGTAGATTGTGTCAAAGCAGCTTCACATTAATGGTCATAGTAACTGGATCAAGGTAGTTCAGTTTTTTGTGTTTAAGTTCAGTTCAGTTCAGTGTGGTTTAAAATCATTACTGAGAGTCCAAACACTGAAGAGCTAATTCATCGATGCGTAGCTCTACCGATCCTGAACCATGCAAGCCAGTGGTGACACCGGAGAGGGAAAAAAAACTTCACCGATAGGAGAGTGAAGAAAAAAAACCTTGAGAGAAACCAGACTCAGTTCAGCACGACTATTTTAGTTTCATCCCATAATTCATCCCATATAAATTGTTTGCAGCCACTTAAAACTTAAAAAATTGTCAATTCAACAATTTTTTTTTTTTTTCAGTGCAGCTTGGTGACTTCCAACATAACCACATTGCACAGGGAGTGTGTGCAAGTTGCTCTGATTAACATAATTGTGCCTATTATACTGTAGTTTCTATCTATATTCGCCTAGGATACAGCAACTTTTTATTTGTCATCAGTCTTAGTACATGAGAGTAACTATAGACAGTCTACTTTATTATAGGACAGTTACCAAAACTGTGGTCATTTTTTGAGAGAGATGCTAATGGTCTAATCCAATTCGATGATCTATGCTAAGCTAAGCTAATAGTGCTTCCACCAGACCCGGAGATTGGCTGAATGAATTCAAAAATGGTGAAAATGTACTGTTTAATTCTACTCTACTGTTAATTTTACTACTCCCCTAGAGTTAAACATTCGAGTTTGACCATTTGTGAATCTAATACATTGATCTTTCGCTTAGCTTAGCATAGATAATTGAATCAGATTAGACCATTAGCATCTCACTCAAAAAAATAACCAGAGTTTTAATCATTTTCCTATTTAAAGCTTGACTCTTCTGTGATTACTCTCATGTACTAAAACTGATGGCAAATGAAAAGTTGCTGTATTGGTCTTTGGTATCCACTCACTATATAAATGACAGCCTGAATAAATGCAAACTCATCTCTTATGCTTGTTCCTTATGAGCTAATGATTTTCCATCTGCCGAAGGTTACCGTTTCCACCGGTATATTAGCTCAGTGTGTAGTTTAACCATGTTGAACCGTGACGTAACTGTCCCAGCGACCCTGTCATATGGTGCACTCTGCCAAGAAAACAGTTGGTACAGATGGCACACACAGCAAGGGCAGAGAAAATACACACATGTGCTCACACATACAAACACCCACAAACTCTCATTAAACAGAGTAAACACACATACACACACACACAATGATATGTGTTTATTGCTTGAATACACACTGAGTAATCAATGCTTACAGAGGCACACTGATAATGAATCAAACTGAAGGTTACACGCTAACAGAGAGGGTTTATGTTTGTTTTAGGGTTGTCTAACCTACCGGTGGTTGTGTTAATTTAATTAGAGGTTTTTATTTTTAGCATCTGTTCCTACTGCTGTTTGTGCTTGAATGCAATAAGCGTAAGTAAAACGCATGACCTGCACGTATACAATCAAGTTATGCAATATTGCATGTTCAGCTCGGTTCACTGAAGGGCCATACGTGCTCTCAACTCTTCATTAATAATCTATAATAGTCCATTACTGACTGGGTTACTTGCTTGTGAAGTTGGGTTGTGAGTCATCTGACACAACATTGACAAGTGTTGACTGTTTTGTTTTGTTTTTAGATTAATTTTTAAATTATAGCAAAATTAACTTATTTGTTATTCAAATTTATTAATTAAATTTTATTATTTTGTTTTATTATATTTATTTTGTTTTGTTTTATTAGATTTTATTATGTTGTTTTAAATTTTATTTAGTTTTATTTAGTATTGTTTTTTAGTTTTTTATATTTTATTTTATTATTTTATGTGATTATTTTATTTTTTTGTTTTATTTTATTTTGTTTTATTTTATTATTTATTTATTTATTTATTATTTTTAATTATATTTTATTTCATCATTTTATTTTATTTTTTTATAATTTTTATTGTTTTATTTTATTATTTAATTTAATTTAACTTTTTGTTTTATTTCATTTCATTATTTTATTTTATTATTTAATAATTTTTATTTTATTTTATTTTATTATATTTTACTTGATTATATTTTTTTATGTTTTATTTTATTTTATTATTTTATATTGTTATTTTATTTTAATTTTTTTTCATTATTTTTTGTTTTATTTTATTTTGTTTTATTTTATTTTATTTTATTATTTCATTTTATTTTTATTGTTTTTTTATTATTATTTTATTATATTTTTATTGCATTTTATTATTTTTTATTATTATATTTTATTATATTACATTTTATTATATTTCATATTATTTTTTATTTATTTTTTTGTTTTATTTTATTCTATAGTTTTTTTTCCTTTTATTTTATTATTTAGTTTAGTTTTATTTTATTTTGTTATTTTTTTATTTTTTTTTGTTATTTTATTGTATTTTATTTTTATTTTTTTATTCATTCGTTTATTCTTTTTTCGGCTTAGTTCCTTTATTAATCTGGAGTTCCCACAACAGAATGAACCTCCATGTTTTATTTTATTTTTCATTATTTTTTATTTTATTTTATTTTAATTTATTTTATCCATTTCATTTTATTTTTTTGCCACATGATTTCTTGACCTCAACGTTTGCTGTTCTCCAGATATCCTGCCTCAGTCTGACTAAAGCGTGTGTTTGACTTCTCAGGTTTTGTGCAGTAACAGTGTTCTGGATTCGTCTGAGTACTGGCTGAAGAATGATAAGACGCTCTGCAGAATTGGATTTCTGGAGGACCAGCATGACAGCGGCTGCCCGACAGTGAGTCTCTTTCACATCTCACACACTCCAGAAGTGCTGAAATCATCCACACATGTGTCTATACATTGTGCTGAGCTCCCACTGATAAATGTGCTGTTGATTGCGGTAATCATGTTGGCTGTGGCTGAATAATATACAGTTGAAATCATAATAATTTTTTATTTTTTATTTTTAAATATTTCCCAAAATGGCGTTTAACAGAGCAAGGAATTTTTCACAGTATTTCATATAATATTTTTTTCTTCTGGAGAAAGTCTTATTTGTTTTATTTCAGCTAGAATTAAAGCTTTAATTTAAGTTTTTATTTTTATTTTTTTACATTTTAAGGTCAAAATTATTAGCCCCCTAAGCGATATTTGTTTTCAATTGTCTACAGAACAAATCTTCATTATACAAAGATAAAATAAATCAGTTATTAGAAATTAGATATTAAAACTATTATTTTTAGAAATGTGTTGAAAAAATATGCTCTGCGTTAAACAGAAATTGGGGACTATAATATACAGGGGGACTAATAATTCTGACTTCTCCTGTATATTGTGTTGAGCCTCCTCTGATAAATGTGCTGGTGATTGCGGTGATGATGTGGTACGATGTTGGCTGTGGCTGAATATTATATGCAGCATGAGAATGGATCTGCGCTTGGATGACAGCTGCACTAACTGCAGGACTGGATAATTACAGTCTAATGACAGATTTTATACTTCGCTTTACTTTAATGGCAAGTTTCTTGTCTCATGTAAATGATGGCTCGGCAGCGATCTTACTATGCATAACATTATGCCGTGATCCCGCCGGGGTTTCAGCTCCTTCAGGATGAATTATCTTGAATTGTCTTTCTGATTATCTGCGTGGTGATCATGTTATGGAAATTTTACACCAGGATTTTCCATTATTTTGAGATCTTGGCTCAAATTTTAGAGCTCTTTTTTATAATTCAGTGAACAGAAATTATCATTTTGGTATGCAAACACATTTCTAAACACAATAGTTTTAATAATTAAATCCTAATAACTGATTTCTTTTATCTTTGCCATGATGACAGTACATAATATTTGACTAGATTTTTAAAATATACTAGTATTCAATGCCAAGTTATTTGTAACCCCCAATATACTCTGAGGTGGTCATAAATATAGAAATCTTGCATGCAACGGCACACACACACACACACACCTAAAGGCCCAAGTCTATTCTTTGTTTTTTGTTTTTTTTCATGTATGTGAAGTGCTGTAAATGTGCCAGAAAGTTCATCTTGCTGTCATAAAATCATTCTGCTGCATCTAATGCTATTGCTGTGTCTAATAGAATGTAATCACCCCAAGAATCGCAATCCAATAATAACAAAAGGCTGTAACTGTAAACTGTTTTTATTTTCAGAAGGTTATGGATAAAGTATGGATAAAATATGGTAACTCTAATGGTTTAATAAAATTTATTAGATTTTTGGAAATCACCAAGCGACCCCCCCTTCATTGTCCGGCGACCCCCACTTTGGGAACCACTGCTGAAGACAATCCAAAAATATACTGGTTAAGGGGTTAATAATATCAGCCTTAAAATGGTTTTAAAAAAATATTAACTGCTTTTATTCTAGCCGAAATAAAAAAATATTATAGCAAATACTGTGAAAAATTCCTGAATCTGTTAAACATCATTTGGAAAATATTTGAAAAAGCAAAAAAAAATCACAGGAGGGTAAATAATTCTGACTTAAGCTGTATATATTTTTATATTATATAGAGATAAATGATTTTATCAGATATTTTCTATAACCCATTTTGGCTGATGACAATATTACTTGTATCTATTTTTTGCTTAATATTATCATCTATTTTAGTCATATACATGATTAGATCATATATAGTGAGTATACAGAATAATATGAACTTTTATGAATATATTATAGATGCATTGATTTCAATTTTCATGTCAGATTTTAATTTCTTTTTTTTTGTTTTGATAAATAAGACCAGTCAATATCGATTTTTGCCAATTCTAAAAGTGCTAAAAGTTATATATAGTATATTATTATATTATATTTAGAGATGCATGATTTTGTGTTTTGCAAATATCTGATATTTTGTATAACCAATTTTGGCTCATGTCAATATTGATATATTTATCTATTTGTGCTTTTTTTTTTTTTTTTTTTTTTTGCTTATTATCATTTATTTTTTGTTATATAGATTATTAAATCATTTATACTGAATATGCAGAATAATATGAAATATATTAGAGTTTTACCAATTGCCAGATTTAAATTTCAGATTTATTTTGGTAAGTGTGACCTGCCGATTTTTGGCAATTCTAAAAGTGCTAAAAGTTATATATATTATATTATATTATATTATATTATATTATATTATATTATATTATATTATATTATATTATATTATATTATATTATATTATATTATACTATATTATATTATATATGATATTTTCTGTTACCAATTTTGGCTACTGTCAATATTGATATTGTTTATTTGTTATTTTATTTTTGGAAAGTCAGTTATTATTATCAAATATGTTATCATATAGATGATTAGATCATATACATAATAACATGGATTTTTCTAAATATATTATAGATGCACCTGTTTGCAATTTTTGCTGCTTCTGAAAGTGTTAAAATCTCAGTTAATGGTTTGGTAATAGTGTGAATTGTACAATATTATAAAATGTGACCTTTTTTACAGTAAAAAATTGGGGCTGCACGATATTGGAAAAAACAAACATTGTAATATTTAGTCTTTGTGCGATTCATGTTGAAAATAATTTCACAAGACAACTTTAGTAACTCTGTTTGGAAACAATTCATCACTTTACTTTGAGAGTTTGACTTTGACTGGGATTTTGTAGGTGAGTGGAAATATATCATATTGTCATAATATATTCCAAATTACACAAAAATATATAAAGTCAACAAATTAAAGCATGAATAAATCAATAGAACAATGTTACATTTTAAATAAACAGCACTTTATGGTTTTCAGTGTGTTTAACAGTTTTGAGGTACAGAAATTCAAAAATAAAATGTAAAATAACACTGAGTATTCAATGGATCAATAAACAATTTTTTAATAAACAACGGTCTTGTGTCTAAAAAGTTTCAAAAAATTATTTTATTCTTTTTTTTTTTTAACAATTAGGCATTTGTTTTTTGTTGTTGTTGTATTGGGATTAGAGAGAGAGGAAGGGTCGGCAAAAGACCCCGAGCCGGGAATAGAACTTGGGTCGCCCTGAGCATTATGATGCCATATATCGGCGCACTTAACCACTAGGCTATTGACACCAACAAATAGTTGTAATCTAATGAAATCACAAGTCACAGGCCTTGAAAACACACAAGATTAAACTTTGAAATAAAATCATGTTCTCTATACTGTGGTTAATTATAATCCCAAATTGGCATTGCAGGTCCTGTGTTGTGACTATTGCAGATTCCCACATTACTATATCGACTTTATATTGAAATACTGTGCAGCCCTTATAAAAATAATTCTTTTATGACCATTCTCAGGATTTAGTATGGTAATGAATATGTATATGGCAATGTTGACATGTTTGGTCTTGGCCGTATAGACCTGCTATGCATGTAGGAGCAGATTAGCTGACTTATCAGCCTGTGCACGCATAGAGTTTCATGGCAGAAATTGTATCAATTCTTGGTGCACCACTACAAAACCACTACACATTTTTTGGGTCTGTCTGATGATGACCGCTGGTTTTTGTAGCCAGAAATAAAACACGTTGTAATTTGTGATGGCAGAAAGTGGCATGGCCTGTTGCGTATCCGTGCGCTGGGGCTGATCAGACGGAGACTCCTCCACCCTCGGGCTCAGGTGCAGTCAGAACAGCTTTCATCAGGGCTGTGCTTTAACTGCGCTGATGTCACACATGATGTTCCTTTAACACAAAAGCTCCGCGCCGGGAATCAGTCCCACACACACCAGCTGGCGCTCAGACTCTAATGCCAGTGCCGAGTGCCAGAGAGAGAGTGAGCGTGAGAAAGACGCATTTAAAAAATTCATGGAACTATTACCACAACTTAAATAAATGCATGGCTGCAGTGAATGACTGGATTTTGCTTAAGCTATAAATGACCTTTTCTCCATATATTAGCTGTTTAGGGTGTTAACATGACCTTACACATTGTCAACACATTAAGTTAGGGATGAAGTACATCAGGAGGTTGTTATCTCAGAATAAAGCCTGACAAGCTTATTGGCAGCCTGACGTATGTCAGAGCACTGTTTTATCAGACTGAAGAGCTTTATTCTGTGAAAACAACCGTCCTGAATGTACTTTATCTAGGTTATTACACAGCTACTTGCCACAAAACATTAAAATTAGACACAAAACATTGTTCTGAACCATAGTAGTTGAGTATATACTAACCTGCTCATTATTCAGTCTCAAGATGGTGCCAAACAGTCAAAAACACAAAGCTGACAGAAACTTAAGAGCTGATGGAGTATACACTAACCTGCAAATTATTCAGACACAAGATGGTGCCAAATAGTTACAAACACAAAGGTGACAGAAGCAAAAACAGCTGATGGAGTATACACTAACCTGCACATTATTCAGACACAAGATGGTGCCAAATAGTTACAAACACAAAGGTGACAGAAGCAAAAACAGCTGATGGAGTATACACTAACCTGCACATTATTCAGACACAAGATGGTGCCAAATAGTTACAAACACAAAGGTGACAGAAACAAAAACAGCTGATGGAGTATACACTAACCTGCACATTATTCAGACACAAGATGGTGCCAAATAGTTACAAACACAAAGGTGACAGAAACAAAAACAGCTGATGGAGTATACACTAACCTGCACATTATTCAGACACAAGATGGTGCCAAATAGTTAAAAACACCAAGGTGACAGAAGCAAAAACAGCTGATGGAGTATACACTAACCTGCACATTATTCAGACACAAGATGGTGCCAAACAGTCAAAAACACAAAGGTGACAGAAACAAA